CGCTTATCTTTTGGTCATATTACGTCAGAGCAATCGGATATTGAAGCTCACACTGCAGGTAAGAGGCAAAAATGCGCCACAATATCTCGAGAAAGGAACCCTGCTCTCAAAGAAGTATCGCCTTGAAAAAATGATCGGCGGTGGAGGATTTGGTCAGATCTACAGAGCTATAGATATAGTGAGCGCTTCGAAGTTGTTAGCTCCTTCTATGGAAACAAAACTTCTGTGTACAAACAAAACTTCTGGAAACAACTTCTGTGTACTATCCAGGAAATGGGCACAGTCGTGGCAGCAAAAGTGGAACCACAGTCGGAGGACGCTGGCCGTATGGTGCTTGAGCAAATGGTGCTTACGAAACTCGTCGGTACACGGCATTCGCCAAGATTGGTTAGATAATTTCCACTTGTAGAAGTTCAAAGAAAAACTGTTGGGAAACTTTGAGGACCTGAAGGAAAAGCTTGTCATAAGATTAAGGAGTCACTATATATTTGACTTCTTCAACACATCATTGTCGATTTCAGTATGCTTCGGGATGGATGAATAACTACAACTTCATCGTTATGCAAATGTTGGGAAGAAATCTCACTGAACTGCGAAAAGCACAGGCAGATCGCCGCTTCAGTGTGCATACGGTACAAGGTTTTCCATGGCTTTTGTAAGCTTATGTGACCCTTTGAAAAGCTGACCTAGAGCCTTTTCTAACATGTAAAAACGTCCTACTCGCTCAAAGTCCAACGTGCTACCCTGAACAATCTGAAACTTCAATGTAGAAATTGACGCAATGTGCGCGGCACACCTTTGAGAACCCATTCAATAACAAGCTCATCGTTTCGTCATGAAGCCAAAACCATTACAGACGGTACGAGTTGGAATGCAAATCATCGAGGCATTGAAATCCGTGCACGATTTGGGATTTCTTCATCGGTGAGTCTAGAGCTCGTCTAGAGAGAGGCATTAGGCAGTCTCCAGAAGTTCGACTGGGTGTTCCTGGGGATGAAGGGGAGGGAGGGGGACATACGAGCATTGAAAAAATTCCAGAGGCACTGGATACGCTGGCTCAGGCTTTTCTTTTTGCTCAATTTCCCCTCCGCTCGAAGGGACTCCTTGTGCAAGAAAAATCCTACCTTCGCAGGGACCTCCCCCGTTCCAGCGTTCAGCCGTAGTTAGATTCTATATCACTCCGTAGGGACTGCGTCTCCCGGAAAACCCAATTCTGGACCAACGCCAGCGAAAGTGGAATTGTGTTTCACCCAAAGGAGTACAGAGTGTAGAGAAAAAGAGAGCCTCGACCTCGGCTGGGCCCTGTGGTGCAGGAGGCGAATGATCTCGGGTATGGGAAGGGAGGGAAGGAGCCGTACTGTTATGTGTCCCTCGTGAGGGGGATGGATGGTGAACCGGGACAAAACCGAAAACTGGACATAAGTCTCGGAAAGATCTCCAACGATTACTGGGATCACCGCGGAATGTGATCCATGAAGGCTGATGGACCACTGTCTGGGAGCTCTTTCCATTCCGAACTCTCACGTTATTTATTAATGAAAACATTCGAATCCCTTGTGAAAGAGCCGAGATTTCCGGAAAATTGGGGACCACACTGCGTAACGGCACAAAGCACGACGGTCAACATTACGCATTCAGGATGTTCAAACCCTCTACACATTGTTTTGCGCGTTGGCATCGGGTGAACATCGTACGATCATTTATCTGTTGTTTTGGTACGTTTTTTTTGAGATCCGCACTACGACGCCTCCCGAGTGTGCTCTAGCTGATCGTAGGTTTTACAAAGAAGTGACTTGGTTAGAAAGTGACTACAATCTTGTTCGTCGCGGATGCTGGGCGTGCCAGGAGGCAGAGGGGCGGGGGGCTGCGGGGAGGGGCGTGTGAAGCAACCGCGCAGCTTTCCAAGTCGTTCCATGAAAGGTTCGCGCAGTTGTGTGGATGGATGGCTGGTGGCCGGGCTCAATAGAAAGAACAAAAAAACGACACAGTTTGATTATGTTTCGAGAAAAAGAAGGAATGGTCCATTTCGCCTTTACAGGTGAACCACTATATTCCATCAGTCCACTGAGGCTCCGAAAACTGTGTAGAACGGGCTGGCGCCGCACCAACTCCTTCCCCTAGGGCACGATCCGCAATCCACGCGACCAGGTTGTAGAGATGCCTGCACACTTCTCTCTTCTGCATTACTGTAGGCCTTTGAACGGGCGCGGCCCTGATGATATGTGAATGAAAGTACAGACCACGCCTGACGAGTCCTCTGTGGGAACTGACCGCAGTGGAGAGATCCGTTTCATCACACAACTTTTAGGAATGACGCGACAATTCCGTCTTCCCAACGGTGAATTTCGTAAGGAACGTGCTTACGCTGCATTCAGAGGCACTATGCGTTATGTGTCCTTGTCGGTGCATGAACGGAAAGAACAGGTACTGTCCCTGAAAATTAACCAACCCACCTAACTATAAGAACTACTGTTTTCCAGGGTCCCCGTGACGATCTCTGGAGCATCTACTACACACTAATTGAGTTGGCTGAAGGCTCATTACCATGGCGTACTATCACCGATCATGACGAGATATTTCAGTTGAAGAGGCGCATGACGAAATGTTATCATTTGTCGCCATGGGGTCACGCAGCATCTGAAGGGGCAATCCATAACCCGTACCGATACCCAACGGCAGATATTTGCAGACACCTTCCACGTCATTTTGAAATGTTCCCGATTTTGCTTCGTGATCTCTGCTACACTTCAATTCCTGACTACAGCAAGCTCGTTCTGGCGCTGAGGGTTAGTTTCACGTACTGTACAAGAAGTCAACCCAGAACTATGGAATGTGGGCCCATGGATTGCTATCGGTAATTAGTGAAAGCCAACCCGTAACAGTATTACTAGAAAGCAACCCATATCCTAGAGAATGGGAAGGCGTGGCTGCGCGCGCTTGAGCTTGTTGCCTCGCCCGAACCTACGGCGGAATATTTTGGAACAATTGTAATCATATCTTTGTTCACGAAAAACGCATTGTACGCCATGCTCGAAAGTATTAGCCACGCTCACTCCATCTCCGTGCTATGTACTGTACGCAAGGCACTGGAGAAATTTTCTGCGAAGCTACGCTTCTCGGATTCTGCTCAGGTTTCTCCACCACTTTTCTTGAGTATCTTTCTACAGAAATTCACTTTCCGGCCACCCTACCCAAATGCAATCGAACGGAGGGGGGGGAGGGGGAGGCAAACACAGCACCTGAACAGGAGAACCCGCAGAGAAAAATAGCAACTGAAAACATTCTTTCCCAAGGCTAATTCGACACCCCTCCTTCCAGTGACCGAATACGACCCCCTCGCTTGGTATGCTCAAGCTACCGACGTCCCTGACTTAGCCACATTAGCACATGTCTCGAAAGAAGCTGAGGTGATCCGCTAACTGCTGAAGCTTATGAAGAAATCCCGGTCTCCCGGAAATCATTCATTCAGGGGAGGGGGAGAGGGGTCGGTCTCCCTGGCACAACCGCTGCCTCCCATTCCCGGTCATTAGTGTTATCAAGCTTATGGGACGGAAATGTTCAGCTCCCTGGCGCTAATAAGCTTGGAGAGCTGAACTGCTCAGTTCTAGGATTGCCGCCGAGCAGAATTACCATACTCCAGACCGCTTCACCCACGCCGATGCGCCTAAGCCTCCTATGGAAGTCCTCATCTCACATCTATCTGGTTTATCATATAGGCCCTTTGAGCAGCGCTATTCAGCGGTTGACTGCATGCGGAACATCTTTCCTGGAATCGACGACCCATCCATATTCATGACGGGCGAAGGGGAGGGAGGGACATTTTGCACTTTCCACTTTCAATACTTCCCATCGACGGGTCGACCCATCTAGACAGCCTCTTGTCGAGTTAACAGATTTTACCGTGATGGAATGACGAGTTTGCTCCAGCTTCACAAGAGTTCATATGTTTTACCAGAGCTGGTGTTGTAAGCCAACCTGTGAAGCAAACGAAAGTGCAAAATGTCCCCCGTCGTCGAACTGCGCCTTCGTAACCTCTGTCCACAACGAATTAAGAATATCTTCAGCGATGCTGCAAACTGGTCGACGATGAAGCTGACTTCGAATGGGACGACGAAAATTCGTCGATTTCCAACTAACTTCCTACGAATACACCATTCTGTCACATATACGTCCCATACCTTTTTTGACGATTCTATTCATTGATCATGCTTCTCATAAAACATTGAATCCTTAAAGTAAATAACTCTGTAGAATCGATCGATTCGATGTGGATCATACGAATAAACTAGCCTTCACAAACTTCATCCATAATAGTTAACCACCATGTGACAAGTATACATAGCAAGTTTGAAAAAGCGAGATCAGACCTACAGTATATATGCTATGCTATAATTCCAGTGATAGCCAAAGTATTACCAGTTAGAGTAAAATAGTAAGGGTAGTAAATGCTGAAAATATGTGTACAAAATAGCAATGTGCGCAAATACTATTCAAAAATCGCTTTTCCACAAGTGAATTGAGAAGTCTGACTCCAGTCCAGATGACGCGATGATGTTCTGCGTTGGATGGCAGTCCGTGGCCAGCACGACGTCCT